TCAGCTGTTTTAAACTCTACAATTTCGTGGCATTTAGTACATTCAAACTACTGTGTGACCTTCACAATGACCAACTTCCAGAACATGTGTAGCATGCCCACAGACAAACCCCATACCCGTTAGAAGTCGCTCCCCACTCTTCCCAGCCCTAGGTCCCCACGAATCAGCCTTCGGTCTCTGTAGTTTTGCCTATTCTCGAAATTTCCTACAAATGGAATCCTACGACGTGGGACATCTAGTGTCAGTCTGCCTTCAAAGAGCATAATGTTTCCAGGCGTCACCCATGTGGTAGCGGGGGACTCTTGCTTCCTTCCGCCGTGTGCCCCGACGGCGTTCCATCATGGGGATGCAATGTTTGTCCACTTCGCGGTTGGACCTTCGGTCATTTCCACCTTTTGACCGGTGTGAGTACTACTGCTATGAACCTGCCTCTGTAACTTTTTGTTTGAATGCCTGCTTTCAGTCATTCTGTGTATATATTTAGGGCCGGCACAGCAGCTGCACTGTTTTACATGGCCCCCAGCAACGTGTGAGAGTTTCAATTTCTTTACGCCCCTCCTAACGCTTGTTATTTTCCATTGAAAAAAAAAATTTCTTTTATGGCCCCCGCAGTGGGTACGAAGCGGTATCTCATTGCGGTTTTGATTTGCATTTCCCCGATGACTAATGAAGTGGAGCATTTTTTTTTTTCATCTGATTCTTGGCCGCTCATGTGTCTTCTTTGCAGAAACTTCTACTCAAGTCCTTTGCCTACTTTTAAGTTAACTTACCTTAACTTTTCATGGGAAAATATACGTAACAGTAAAGTTTGCCATTTTAACTGTTTCTCAGTGTACAGTTCAGTGGCATGAGGTGCATTTATGGTGTTGTGCAACTATGACCACCATCCAGCTCCAAAACATTTTTTTTTAAAAAGACTATTTTAAAAAGGCACAATGATTTCTGCCCCCTCCCCATACACCCCAGTCCCCCGCCGAAGGCACAGCCCTCCCCCGTTATCAACATTTGGCACCAGAGTGGGACATATGCTTGTCAGTTTCTGCCAAAAAGGCAGCTGAGATTTTGATAGACATCACACAGATCTGTATATCACATTGGAAAGTCTTGCCGTCTGTGGTGGTTAGCTCTCCATGTGAACTTGTCTGGGCTATAATAGCCAGTAATTCAAGTACACACTCATCTAGGCGCTGCTCTGAGGTACTTTTGGATGGGGTTAACTTCTACGACAAGTTTTTTTTTTTTAACAGTTATTCATTTTTGAGAGACAGAGAAAGACAGAGTGTGAGCAGGGGAGGGGCAGAGAGAGGGAGACACAGAATCCAAAGCAGGTTCTAGGCTCTGAGCTGTCAGCACAGAGCCCAACACGGGGCCCGAACTCATGAACTGTGAGATCATGACCTGAGCTGAAGTCTGGACGCTTAACCGACTGAGCCACCCAGGCGCCCCCTACTTCTACAACAAGTTTTAAGTAAAGGAGAGTATTTTGGTAATTTGGGCCTCATCCAATCAGTTAAAAGGCCTTAAGAGCAAAACTGAAGTTTCCCAGAGAAAGAATTACACCTGTGGACCAGAGCTTCTACTCCTACCTGAGAACTTCATCTCTCTCTCTCTCTCTCTCTCTCTCTCTCTCTCTCCATTCATCCATCCTATCCTATCTACCGGCCTACAACCTATCCATCCTATCTATCTATCTGCCTATCTATCCATCCATCCATCCACCTACCCACCCATCATGTCTGTCTGTCTGCTGTCTGTCTATATCTATCTATCTATCTACCTACCTACCTACCTACCTATCAGTCTTCCATCCATCCATCTATCCATACTATCTACCTACCTACATATCTATCCATCCTTTCTAACATCTATCTACCTACCTACCCATCCTATCTATCTGCCCATCTATTGATCAGTCTATTGATCTATCTATCCATCCATCCACCTGCCCATCCTTTCTATCTGTCTATCTATCCATCCTATCCATCCATCCATTCATCCATCCATCCCATCCTACCTACCTACCTAACTACTTATCCACCCCATCTATCCGTCCATCCTATGTATGTATGTATGTATGTATGGATCTATCTATCTATCTATCTATCTATTCCTTCCTTCCTTCCCATCCCCTCTATCTGTCCATCCATCCATCCATCCATCCATCCATCCATCCATCTATCTATCATCTCCTTCCAGTACTGTTTCTCTGATAGAACTCTGACTGATATACTACACAAATATCTTTCCATTTCATTTAGGTCTTCAATTTCTTCAGCAATGTTTTGTAGTTTTCTCTGTACACATCAAACTTCTTTAAATTATTTTCTGAATTTCATTTTTGTGTCATTCCTTAGTAGTGTACAGAAATGCAACTGATTTATGTATGTTGATCTAGTATCCTAACACCTCGCTGACGTTGTTTATTAGCACTGATAGTTTTTTTGTGGATTCCTTAAGATTTTCTCTGCTTAAGATCCTGTTGTCTGTGAACAAGATCGTTTTACTTCTTCCTTTCCAGTCTGGATGCTTTTTATTTCTTTTTCTCATGGAATTGTCCTGGCTAGCACCAGGTACCGTGTTGAGTAGACGCGGCAAAAGCAGTCACCCTTGCTTGTTCCTGATCTGAGAGGGGGAAGCTGTCCAGCCTTCCACCATGGAGGATGATGGCCGCACTCGGTGCTCGTTTTCAGGCTGTGGAATGCTTCCTTCTATTCCTACTGCGTTGAGTGTCATTGTCTTGAAAAGGCACTGGATTTTGTCAAATGCTTTTTCTGCATCTATTGAGATGATCGTGGGCCTTCACTTCTCAGAGTGTTGAGTTGGGTTAGAAATTCAATCTCTCTGGCTTCTTGGGGATTGAAAAAAAAGAGTCACAGTTTTACAGCTCTCCCCATAATTAATCGCAAGCTGGCAGGCGCAGTTAAGTGTTTAGGACGTCTGAAAACAAAAACAAAAACAAAAAAACAAAGCCAGCCCCAGTAAATCTCAGCTGTTGCAGGGAGAAAAAGGAATGAAGATGTGGTAACACTAAAAGACAGAAGTGAATTCAGATGTGTTATTACTTTTCCCTCTGCAGAAAGAAAGAAGGAAAGAAAAAGGTGGGGATAGCAGAAAGGCAAGAAGAGAGGAAGGAAAGGGAAGGGAAGGGAAGGAAAAGGGAAGGGAAGGGAAGGAAAAGGGAAAGGAAAGGAAAGAAAAAAGGAAAGGAAAGGAGAACAGAAAGAAAAAGAGAAAGGAAAAGAGAATGGAAAGGAAAAGGGAAAGGAAAGGAAGGGAAGGGAAGGGAAAGGGAAAGGGAAAGGGGAAGGGAAGGGAAGGGAAGGGAAGGGAAGGGAAGGGAAGGGAAAAGGAAAGGAAAGGAAAGGAAGGTGGGAGAAAATTATTCACATAGGCTGTTTCTTGAGCATTTTGCTCTGATGGAGTTTCCGTAAGGCTTGTGTCTTGCTAGTGACAGCCGTGACACTCTGGTTTTATGTCAGGACAGCAGGTCTCTCCCCACCTTGAGAATGGAGAATGGCAGAGGCTGGGCATAATCCAGCTTCATCTATGGTTTTAAAATAAAAGATCGATGTCACTAATCACATTTCCCTGGCGATTCCTCACTGTTAGGAGGACTTTGAAATCCCCTCCTCCAACTGAGTAATACTTCCATGGTGGATAGCGGCTGGGTCCACATGGCAAAAGGTGGTGAGAGCTTTCAACAGGGGCGGAGAGAATAGTTTGCTCTGGGACTTTGGGCAAGTCACTCCCCCTGCCTGGGTCTCGTTGTCTCTGGGATCTTCCTGTAAGGGCGGAGGATTGCATCACCAGAGGAGTCTGGGGATCCAGTAGGGGCCAGATCGATGAATCCCTGGAGGGACTCAGAGGCTCTCTGCCCAAGTGGCGTTTCTCTAAATGGCCACATTAGGGTGCCTCCCATTTCCAAGCCTGTACTCTGAAAGCCACGCAAGATCTTTAATGCTGTCACGACTTCTCCAGGAACCCTGCCCTGCGCCTACTACTATAGCAGGCAGACGGGGCTCTTAGCAGACAGACAAGCAGTACCCATTTAGGGGCAGAGGACTGAGTGCATGTTGAAAGAGGAGATACAGATTTCCAGAGATTTCAGGGGCACCTGGGTGGCTCAGGTCATGATCTCATGGCTCATGAGTCTGAGCCCCGCACAGCTATCAGCACAGAGCCCACTTCAGATCCTCTTTCCCCCTCTCCAGCTCACACACATGCTTTCTCGCTCTCAAAAATAAATTGAAAAAAACAACAAAAAAAAGATTTTAGCAATGGAATGAGAAAGTACCTAGGGGCCATGGACCTCCCTGGGGACTTCGAAGGCAGTAAGACAGCTGTCGGTTCTATTTAACACTTCATCTGTATAAACCCTTTGCTTGCATGATCTCAGTGCATTCTTAGATTTATGAGACAGGTGCTGTTAATGCCCATTTTACAGACAGGAAACTGAGGCCCAGAGAGAGTGGATGACTTGTCCCAAGGCACATCGTGCATCTGGGGCTCTCTGGATGCGCCTGAATGTACAGGACTCAGTTATGGGGAGAGCAGAAAACCCTGAACCTGGGACTCCGAAGTTGGTGGTCCACGTTCTGCGGGTGGGGGAGGGTTAGGAATGCCAGAGTTGGGGGACCTAGGGGAGTGGGGAGAGCAGGATGCGGAAATCAGGAGGGGAGGAGAATCGACGTGCAGGGGCAGAATCCGCGGGGGGAGGGGGGCAGGACGGGGACACTGGGGGGATCCGAGCTCAGTGCGAGGAGCCTGGGCTGAAACCAGGGGGTCCAGGGAGGAGCGGGGTCGGGGTGCACTCTGGGGGTGTTCCGAGGGACGCAAGGGCAGAACCCGGAGGGTGGAGGGCGTCGGGCACATCCCAGGACGTGCAGGCCAGGGTGGGTCCCCGCGCCGGCCGCAGGGGGAGCCGGAAGCCTGAGCCACCCCGGCCCGGCCCCGCCCCCATCCCGGCCGCGCCCCGCCCCCATCCCGGCCGCGCCCCGCCCCCGGCCCGGCCTTGCCGCCTGCCTGCGCCCCTGGCTCAGACCTCCCGGCTCGTCTGGCTGCGCGGGCGGCGGTGAGTGTGGCGCGGGCGCTGGTGGGGGGTGCGGCGGCCCGGGCGGGAGCGGGGCTCGGTGGGGCGAGCCCTGGCCCCGGGCTCGGGAGCAGCGGAGGCCGGGAGACCCGGGGCGTCGCGCCGGTCGCGGCGGGGGGACCCCGGAGGGGCCCGGGGGTGGAGGGCGCAGGGGACCGGCCGCGATCCGCCGCGCGGGGCCCGCCCGGGGCCGGGTTCCCAGCCTCCCGGCGCTCGTCCCGGCCGTGGGACAGGCCGGGTTCCGTCCCTGCCCCGACGAGTGGGCCCATCGCCGGCGCGGCGGTGGTCCGAAGCCATTTCCGGACGCCGGTCCCAGAAATTCGGCTTCCAGGGGCCGCGGCATCGACGCTCTTTGCCCCCGCCACCCTCGGCGGGTGCCTTTGGGGACGCCTGGGGGCCGAGGGAGCCCCCGAGAGGCGAAAATCCAGACCCAGCGCGAAGGGAGCCCGGCCCTGGCTACACCCCTTCCCCGCGGGTTAAGGCGGGCACCGGGTGAGCGCACGGCTGGGCCCAGGCAGACCCACCGACTGACGGTGCCAGACGCGTGCCGGGTGCACCGGCTGGGGAGCCTGTGGCCGAGCTAGGCGGGTGGTCTCCTCCCCTCGGCTTTCCGGGTCACTGTGGATCTGGGCAGTGGAGCTGGTGTTGGCCAAGGTCAGGGGATGGAGAAATGAGCCCATTCTAGAAGGGCCGTGCGTTCCAGGGCCCAAGCCAGTTGGACCTTCACTAGTTTTCTGATCAGTTTTGTGCTTCCCATTCGCGGGGCTGATGTCATTACCTGTTGGACTGAGTTCTGGTGGTTGGGAAATCCAGTTTCTGGAAGTCACGGGCCTTTCCTTAACCCAACAGGATAGACTTTCCCGCCAGTCTTCCCGGGGCGGGGTACAAATCCCTGGCCTTGGCCTGGGGGGGGGGGGGCGGGAGTTGGGGGCTGGTCCTGGTCCTGGTCCAGGGGTGGCCTGGAATTCAGGCTGGCCCTGCAGGTTCCCCGGGGCCCTTTATAAGGCAGGGCACGTTTGCACCGATGCTTGGATGCCTCGCTTGCCTTCCTGCCCCTACCCCTGGCCTCTCAGGGTGGTTCTTTTAAAATAGGACTAACCTGGATTCCACTGTAAAAAGAGAGGCAGGAGCTGGTATCTAGGACTCCACCACCGCGTTTGGTTTTATCATAGTTGGATCAGAATCCAGAGAGCAGATGACTCGTTCTGCCTGGCATGGAATGACACCCATGCTGCACTTGGCCTACCTCTAAGCCAGCCTTTGTCTGGGATCTGAATGTGCTCCAGACACTCTAAGAAACATGAATGAGAGAGGCTCATCTCCTCTCTTTCCTGTTACTTTAAGGCATTAATAATAGATGCTTTTATTCACATTTGAAAAAGTATCCTTGTAATGTTTCTGCAGATTAAGTGACTGGGTCATTGATCTGAACCAAGATCAATTTCTTAGGTCTCTAAAATACTAGATAGTTTGGTGAGTATACCTTCCTTTGCTCCTTCCGTCCCTTTTATGGGCTGGCTGTGAGGAAACAACTAAGTGCTATCCTTGCCCTTTAAAGGACATAGAAGAAATGGCTCTTGGCCCTGAAGGATTTACGTTGTGTGTTTAAAGTGGAAACACATGCAGGTGAAAAAGTCAGTGCTCTCTAATGCCTGGAAGGAGTTTGAGGGGAGTGGAAAGGAGGGAGGTGTGAGCTAGAGGCCAGGATAGCCACCGCAGGTTTAGTTGCAGAGGCGAGGCCGGGGCATATGTGGACATGTGGGGGGATATGTGGACATTGTGAGCAGCATTCCTAAGGAGCAGAAGCGTCTCAGCAAAGCTTCAGAGGAAGCACAGAGAAGAGGGTTGGACCGTGAAAGGGGAACTCCTGGGAGGGAAGGAGCCAGAAGGCATTTCCAGCCTCAGTGAATTTTCAAGGGCCTAAGCAGCGTGTATACTATTGCTGTTAATTAACCACAGTGCCCCCATAAGAATGGGCCAGTACCCATCCGGGACTGAAAATCCTCCCACCAATGATGAATCAACCCAGAGCTACAGTGATGGTGGAAGAAAGGAGATTATAAGAGTGGACACTGCAACTTGTATTTGTTTTTGCTTTTGTTGCAGTGATAATAGACCAGTGGGTGGGTGAGGTGGTCAGTCTCATCAGGCAAAAAGACCTCCTTAACTCTGCATTTCTCTAGTACAGCCGTGTTTATAATGTGTTTATGATGTCGTTGGTGCCCATTCAGCCTGCCATGGACTGTTCTGGACTCCACGGATGTTTGCCTAACCTGAAAATTGTTACTTGAGCTCCACGTGGTGCCTTCCCGGGTCCACACAATTTCTTCTTATTGTTTGAACCTGTGTTGGTATTCTGGGCACCGTGATAACACTCCCTTGGCTAACATAGCTGTCCCTTGGGTGCAGGTTATTTCCGTAGAGGAGCTGTGTGTGATTTCACAGGCTTTAAGACAGGGACAGAGGGGCACCTGGCTGTCCCACCCAGTGGAGCATGCGACTCTTGATCTCAGGGTTGTGAGTTCAAGGCCTACGTTGGGTGTAGAGATTCTTTAAAAATAAAATCTTTTTTAAAAGACACAGACAAGAAAAAAGGAAATACGGGGAGTATCTGCGTGGTGACTCCCTGCCTGCCTGTAGTGGGTGGGAAGTGAATTCACCAGGATCCTAAAGGCTCAAGGCGCTCTGTCCTTTATCACTTCCTTCCTTGTAAATGTTAGCTTTCAACCAAAGAACAACCAGAGAATGTCAGCTGTTTAGCTTGGTGAGCTTTAGAATGGCCGGTGTTCTTGGAGTAAATGTAAGAGCTTCGCAATGACTTTTGCCTTAACCTTGAGTCCAGGGAGGTTCTTTGTAGAGGATGCACTGATACTTTTGAAAGTTATATAAAAAGTAACTTTCTTTGTTGCCCAGCTTGGCCTTTATCTTGAAGCCTGGTTTTTTTTCTAAAGCTGTAATCAGGGAACCCTACAATTTTGTATCCTGACGAAGTCGTGTTCACGCTTCTCCTTGTGCCGTTTCATCAAAACTCCTCATTCCTCTGGAAACTCGGGGATGTGGTTTCACCAGGAATCCAGAGGGAAGTTCCCTTCTCCTGATTCAAGAGGTGGGAGGGGAGCAGCCCACCTCCCCAGTGGAAGGATTTTCCATCCCGCAAATCGCTGTAATTTGTACTTAGGCCGTATTTGAACTTGGCTTTCAGATTGTGGTAACTTTATCTTTGATTTGTGGGACATGTCACCCTGTGGAAACAGACTGGATCCAGAGATGGCTTTTTTTTTTTTTTTTACATTTATTATTTATTTTTCAGAGACAGAGTAAGACAGAGCGTGAGCAGGGGAGGGGCAGAGAGAGAGACACAGGATCCGAAACAGGCTCCAGGCTCTGAGCGAGCATTCAGCACAGAGCCTGACGTGGGGCTCGAACCCACAAACCGTGAGATCGTGACCTGAACCGAAGTCGGACGCTTAACCGACTGAGCCACTTAGGCGCCCCTGGAGATGGCATTGAAACAATTTCTCTGAAATCTTTACTAGGAGCTTGAATTCACTTGAAGTCAAATAGCCTAAGAACGCAGTACCAGTGTTCTCACTTCCTTTTCCAAAGAGCGCTGGAGGTTCCATTTTCTCCTTCTGTCGAAATTGAAATCCTTCCTCCACAGTCACTTAGAGTTTAGGAAGTGCCATTCGCCTTGGACCTTTTCCGGGACCGGAGGCAGGTTAAATTCCATTCTAACCATAATGGCCTTTTGCGGCACCTTTGTATTTTCAAGACTGCTAACTAGTCTCAGTTTCAGAATTTGGAGGGGCGCCTGGGTGGCACAGTCGGTTAAGTATCTGAGTCCAGCTCAGGTCATGATCTCATAGTTCATGGGTTCGAGCCCCACATCGGGTTCTGTGCTGACAGCTTGGAGCCTGGAGCCTGCTTCGGACTCTGCGTCTCCCTCTCTCTGCCCCTCCCCTCTCTGTTTCCTTCCCTCTCTCTGTCTCTGTCTCTGTCTCTCAAAAATAAATAAACCTAAAAAGAGAATTGGGAACACAATTCAATTTAATACATGGATAAGTCAGGTAGTTCCTTAGAGCTTTTATAATCAGGTTTCACTTAATGTTCACATCTTGTAGAGAACATTTTTCTCCAGAGATTGCAAAAGGCCAGATCTTTTTGGCCTTGCCAGCTGCCTGGTTCCTCACCTTGTGTAGCAACGGGGGCTGTTGTCTTAGCTGTCCTGACATTTTGCGCAAGTGCCTTTTTTTCTTTTCTTTTCTTTTTTTCTTTTTCTTTTTTCTTTTTTTTTTTTTTTGGTTTAAGGAATCCCCCCGCCCCCCATAGTTTCAGTATTGCGAATATTCCAATCGGAGCTGGTCTCTGGGTTCCTTTTCTGGGCCTGGAGGATGGGGACAGGGGCAGAACGGAATCATCTTCCGTTTCTCTCCTTGAAAAAACTGATTTTAGAGGGAGGATTAGATTGGTGGTAAAAAAACAAAACAAAACAAAACTGCTTTATCTTCTCCCTGAAGGCCTTGCCCTTTTCTGTGTCGATCTGATGTATTTTTAGAAGTTTATCACCCACATGTGTTTAAAACCGCTTTGTGAGAGTTTGGAAATCCCGAGTTTTAAGGGAGGGGTACAGATGTGTGGCCGGGCATCCTCGTACGACCAGCGAGGAGGAGTTTTGGAGATTCCTCAAACCTCGGGGCCTGTACATTTGCTTACATTCGGGCATCGCTCTCTGTCTTTCCCTCCCTCCCTCCCTCTTTTCTCTTTCTTTTCTTCTTTCTGCCCTCCCTCCCTCCCTCCCTCTCTCTCTCTTTCTCTCTTTCTTTCTTTTTTTCTTTCTTTCTTTTCTTTCTTTCCTTTCTGTCTTCCTCTCCCTTTATTTGAGAGAGAGAGAGAGAGAGAGAGGGAGCATGAACAGGGGAGGGTCAGAGAGAGAGGGAGACACAGAGTCCGAAGCAGGCTCCAGGCTCTGAGCTGTCAGCACA